AGTTTTTTGTGTTTTCTTCTAGTCTTATTTTTTTGTACATGTATTTTTTCCCATCAAAATCAGATGATACTCTGTGAGTTTTTTATTACTTTTTTTTAACTTAATGTTCTGGAGGAGAATCTTAAACATTGAGGGACATTATGTGTTAGTCACTGTGCAAAGTACATTTACTGGGTGGGGGAACCTTTCTATTTGCCTGGAATGCCTTCCCTTCCTTTTGTGTCATGTGAATTTTCACTTAGCCTTCAACTGTGAAATTAGACATGGACCCCTACCCCTGGGCTGAAGTAGGTACTGTATCTCTTTGCTTCTCTTAGCTCTTTGTACTACCTCTGGGTACTTGTACTTTGATTTGTTTTATTTACAAGTTTGTTTTATTTACTAGTTTGTTTCCCCCACTGGGACTGTGGGTTCCTTTAGGACAGCAGTTTAATTGTCTTCCCATCTCATCTCTATATGTTAAATGTCTGAATGAATGAATGCATGAGTGAATGATTTTGTTTTTTTTTTCACAAATCATATGAGGTAGTTATTATTACTCCCTGTTTTCAGATGCAGAAGCTCAGGCTCTCAGACTGAGTAACTTTGCAGGTCACAGAAGTAGGAACTGAGAATGGTGGAAAAAATAAAATCTAAGTCCTTTCTACTGTATCACACCACCAGAAGGAGTAACAGCTAGTAAATTTTAGAACCTGAATAATCCAGGCTTCTAGACTTCAAAGTACCATGCATATCTCTATGTTATACTTATATTGATGTATTTAAAGCCTTGCTGTATTTTTTAAAATCTATTTTGTTTTTTGTCCCTAAATATAAAAAAAAAAATCATGTGACTAATTTTTTATATGTACTTCTCCTCCCACCCTGCCCACACCAAAAAAATTAAAATCTCAGATAAAATGTTGTATTTCATTTCTTCAACGTATGGGCCCAGTTTGATTCTTCATTTACCTGTGTAGTGATGATCTTAGAAAACAAAACACAGAAACAATTATCTCTTTTATTTGTTTTTTGGAGTTACTTATCCTATAATTTCTAAAAGCCAAGGTAAAAATATCATTATTGCTCTCTGAAAATTAGTATTTCAAATGTAGTGCTTGGTATGGGCCTGGCACCCTGAAGTTAGGTACCTTTTGCATTTTATTCAATTCTCAGCTGGATTCCTTTTAACTAATTATGATGAGTAGGATCATTTCTGTGAACTCTCTGGTCTTCTCACTTGTCATTATAATTCTGAAGCTTAGTAATTCAATTGTTAGGTTTGCTCTTTAGGTCAGCCAGTCTTCCTATCTAGAAGGTTTATAATCTAGGCTTCATTTAATTTCTTTCAGTTTATTTGAATTTATAGTTTTATTTTTTTGCAGTCTTTGTGTTAGTTACCTTCATAATTTTTCAATTGCCTTAATAAGACAGTAATAGGAAGAGCAGTGGACAGCGAAACCCAGATTTCTGTACATTCACTGCGACCATTGGACTTCACTTCTCTGGATGTTTTTCCTACTATAAGATGTGAAGTTAGGTTAATTATGTATAAGGATCTTTCTAAATCAAACATTCTATATTTTAACTCCTTGGAGCTGTTTTACAGAATAATATAAAAGTTTGTATATACTCTTGAACTTTGTTTTTAGAGAATGCTTTTCTTCTGCAGACATCAAAGCACTTGTTGTGTTACTTGTTGGCCATTATTTCCAGAGAGAAAAATGTGGTTAAATAACTGAAATTAGAATATTTGAGCTTTAATTGAAAAGAGTGGCTTATAATATTATGTTACAAATTTTATAGAATATTTTAATACATACTTTTAATATTATATTTTATTACATATTACATTTTATTCATACATAATTCTAATATAGAATTTTTAAAAGACTTAAAAAAGTAATTACTGAGGATAGATAAGCGTTCTTATGCCAAAAAAGATCCTTTAAAAAATTTCAATTTTAATTAAAGCAGATGGATTGAAATAAATGTTGACTACCACTTGTGAGTCCTGAAATTTGATTTAGAAAAAACTGTATTGCAAGAACTGAGCTGATATAATCTGGAAGCCTGTTGATATTATTTAAAGGAGACGCTAGCATGTTCAACTCAAATGTATTGTTATTGCTATTGTGTTGACAGAATAGTTTATCTGTTTATCTACTATTTCATAATCAAATTTTTATTGATTTTAGAGGAACAGACTTGTTGAATGGGACCACTTAGAATTAAGCAATTTCCAGTTCTATAGGGTAGAATTCAAATTTGTAAAATTTATTTAATAGCTTATAATAAAAATCTTCAAGGGGGAGAATTTGGGTGAGGATAAGTCTTGTTTTGGTTGCTTAATTAATGATTCTGTATTTTAAAATTATTACTGAGGAATTGATAGAAAGATTTATGTAATTGACTGAAAATCAAACATCATTGTTTCTATAAAATGAAATAGCCAGGCGACTTAAGATGTCAGTTTAGGATATAGTTCTGACAGATTTTCTGTAAGGGGGTGATTCTAAAAATTCTTATTAGAGAATTATTTTCTGGATTATATATGGTTAGATATATTGCAGTTTCTAGGCAGGAGAATAACTCTTGAGATGGTAACAGGACGAAAAAAAGAAGATTGATCAAAAAGAAAATGCCAGTTAAGGAGGGCACTTGTAGTGAGCACTGGGTGTGATATGCAACTGATGAATCACTAAATTCTACCCTGAAACTAATAATACACTATATGTTAACTAACTTAAATTTAAATTAAAAAAAAAATAAACCAATCTGATACCCTGTGTCTTTTGATTGGGGCATTTAGCCCATTTACATTCAGGGTAACTATCAAAAGATCTGAATTTAGTGCCATTGTATTACCTGTAAGGTGACTGTTACTGTATATGGTTTGTGTTCCTTTCTGGTCTATGTTACTTTTAGGCTCTCTGTTTGCTTAGAGGACCCCTTTCAATATTTCTTGTAGGGCTGGTTTCATGTTTACAAATTCCTTTAGTTTTTGTTTGTCCTGGAATGAGGGGTCTAGAGGGGAGGGGGGTGGGGGGATGGGTTAGCCTGCTGATGGGTATTAAAGAGGGCACGTACTGCATGGAGCACTGGGTGTTATATGCAAGCAACGAATCATGGAACACTACATCAAAAACTAATGATGTAATGTATGGTGATTAACATAACATAATAATAATAAAAAAAAAAAAACCCCTCGAAAACCCAAACAAAAAAGAAAATTCCAGTAAAGACAAGAACTATTATCCTATGTAAAGCTTTCATATAGTGTTTACTTGATGAAAAAGTAATGGCTGATAATGGAAGTGGAGTGTTGGTGGGAAAAACGGCATAAACTATTATAGATGTTCATATGCAGTATTTTAAAGCTTTTCTCTTTGAGATACATATTTTTCTGGGGTACTAAGTATCCTTGCCTGTAGGCATATTTAGGAAATGTTTTAATGCGGAGGGAGTGAATTATAAACTAGGATTTTAGGATATCATTGTCTGTGGATAATACTTAGATTAAATTGAATCATCAGCTGCTTTGACTTTAATGTTACCTGTATGTTTTACTAAGAGGTGGTTCTATATAGTTATTTGGTTGGAAAACAAACTATAGATATGAGAAATAACTGAAAGAATTTGCTTGATCCTTTGTCCCAATCCAGAAGCTAAACTGTGTTGATGCAAATATAAAATAATCAGGTTTGGTTGCCATTCTTTCTGAGCATCATGACAGTTCCCAAGCCACATTTATTTTGGTAGATTAAAATTAATTTTTGCTTGGACTTAAAAAAGATAATTGGCAGGAAATAATTTTTAAAAATCACAGCAGAATCCCTTATTCACAGAATTCTGAATACATGTTGTATTGTAGTTCTGCAACGTATGTTTTCTAAGAAAACAAACCAGGTACCTTGATAGGAGAATCTAAGATTTTTCTTCTATGAATTCTTGTGATATTTCTTATAGATGGACTTTACTTTGGTTTTTTAATGTTCATTGATTCATTGAACAAATACTTACCAAGAACACACATAATTTCTTTTCTCATGGTGATCATTAGGGATGATTTACAAAATTATTCTTTTATGTTGTATTGTTCTTGACCTGGTGATAATATATTGATGTGAGGTCCTCTGTGATGGTATATGTATGTGTTTACATTTTTATTTATATTTACTTTTCATTCTTTCTCTCTCCCTTTATGTCAAGATGAGATGTAGATTTTTTTTTATCTAAGGATTTAATGGTCTAGTTTTCTGTTTCCTCCTTTAATAATTAGGTATTTATGAAACACATCAGGGACTTGAACATTAGCTTAGATAAAAATTGAACAGTTTTGTTGTTTAATTTTCTCCTCCCGGTCTGCATATGTTTACCATCTTCAGAAATTTGCTTGTGTGTTTTAAAAATGAGTTAATGTTGTGATGAATTTTGAGTACATAGCTTATTTAGAGCATAGTATATATAAAAATATTACTTTGATACTGTTTTGGAAACCAGTTAACTTTTTTCAGGAAAACCAGTTCTGCTTTATTAAGCAAATTTGTCCTGTTAATCCTAAAGGGATTTAGGTGAGAATTTGGTGCAAGTAATACCTTTTGTTTGTATTTTTATCATTTATATAGAATCTAGAGTCTCTGATTTTTGATCAGTTCATCACTACTGAATAAATCAAGTACTAGTAGAGTTTACCTGTTGTCTTTGTACTTTAATTTTAGGCATGCGCACTTTTGCTGTTTTGCAACACTTATTTCATAAGATTAACAGCTAAGCAAATGATTTAATCAAGGCATGTAAAAGTAAGTTTGAGTGCCATGTCATTTAAATCTTATCATTTAGATGTGCTTAAATTTTGTAGCCATTTCTTTAATTTGGTTAAAGTATTAAATATTTAAAATGTTATTTTCCTGATCCTGTATATAAAAGTTGCACTTTGTTCCATGATGGAATAGTTTGGTAATGGACTAAATTATGTTTTTAAACCAAATTGGTTTTCCTGTTTTATTTATGCTTTTTAGGTGGCAGCCAATGCACACATTCCTCCAGACTACCTCCTTAAAATTTGTGAGCGGATTGGTCCGTTACTAGATAAGGAGATCCCTCAGAGTGTTCCTGGGGTACAGACATTACTAGGTGTTGGTCGGCAGTCTCTGTTACGGGATGCCAAAGGTAAGATTTTCACAGTTTTCAGAGGAAGGAGTGGAGAACAGCATATTTTCATGTTACGTAAATGTTCACATGCTTTCCTAAATACTAATTTTCTTCTAGTTTTTCTTATTTTGCCAACCTTATTTTCTTAGCGTACAAGTACATTTTTAAAGGCCTAAAAGAAGCCCTCTGCTGTAAAACAGTGAATACAGTAGAGGTAAAGAATATTAAAATCTTTTTGTAATCCTGTGGAATAGAGATCTTAAAAGATCACTGCTCTAATTAGTACAGTATGAATGCTTAAAAGTCTTTCATTATGTTTTAATATTTTTAAGTATTATGAGTCTTTATATCATCTTAATCACATATATTTTCTAATAGGTAAGTGAAAAATGATATGTAAAAATTTATATGTGATATATGATATGTAAAAAATGTTTATGATTGAAAATATTAAAACAAATATCAACCCTTTTAGTGACTGTTCAGTAACAGTTTTTGTACTCCACTGTTTTTCAGTCTTTTAAAGATTTTCCCCAAAGTTTTTCATGGAGCCCCAATATGTAAAATATATAAAGTAGTATTTTATGAATATAAAAATGTGAAATTAGACATTAAGGATGGCTGTTAATGTAATAAATACTTCAGGTCTAGCAACTCATTTGTTTTGTTGTATTAGCATCATGTTTTTTTAAAAATTCTAATTCACAAAGGTAAATAGTTTCAAAAATACCAGTTTTAAACATCTCATTTTATAATATAAGGAAACTCTTCAAATCAGTTAATTTGGAAGTTTTCAAGAGAGCAATAGAGGGGTGTCTGGGTATCTCAGTCGGTTAAGTGTCCAACTCTTGATTTCAGCTCAGGGCATGATCTCAGGGTTGTGAGATTGAGCCTGGTGTCAGGCTCTATCCTCAGCATGGAGCCTGCTTGGGATTCTCTCTCTCCCTTTCCCTCTGCCCTTACCCCCCTCCCAAAAAAAGTAGTGCAATATTTTTGTATCACAGTTAAATTATTAGGAATATTTCATATTTGCTTGAGTTTCTTGACATAAACATAAAAAACAAAAAACACAATTATTTATAGTCATTTATCATCTGACATGCAATATTGTTACCTGTTACGGCATAATTGGCAGGCACTCTATAATGTGAGTTTGCACCAAGTATACATGTTTCTGAATTTTACCTGGCATACTTGTGCCATAGTTGTAACCTTGCTTATATAGTTTTATGTAAGTAGAAATCAAGATCAAGAAGGACCAATATAAAATTAAAACCTTATTAATCCATGACATATTTACTTAAGATTCAAATACATGCATAATAAAAGCTTTAGTTCTAGATCAGCACAGAAATAAAATATCCTGGTGTTATATTAAAGTGTTGTTGTTTAACAGTCATAATATAGTTTGTAACATGTTTAAAAATATGCATTGTTATTTTTTATTGTGGTATTAATAGTTAAAAATATACTGCAACAAATGAAATTGAAAACAGACATTGACCTCTGAGGTACAACTTAAAAAAACACTGTTCTATTTCTTGACTAACTTTTGATTCTTTTTGAATAGACTGTAAGAGTACACTATGGAATGGGTCTGCTTTTGCAGCTCTACATAGAGGCAGACCTCCAGAACTACCTGTAAATTATGTGAAACCTCCAAATGTGGGTGAGTAATGTCCATATGAACTATGAACATATTTTTGATTTGTTTCTTCCTGAACTCATTATACAGCCAAAAATAGGTACCAGAATTAAATTTGAAGTATAAACAAGCTGCTTGCATTCTTGAGGAGTTTCATGGTTGGTCTAACTTTTTTAAAGCATTTTTATTTAATGTAGTTATGGTTTTGTGATCTTGTTTTCTTTCTTTTCTTTCTTTCTTTCTTTCTTTCTTAGCAGAAGAATTTCCTTTTTTATATACTATATGTGTTTTTAACCATATGGATGTCTTTACATATCTATGTGCTAAACTTAAAGATTTTACAGGGAACTATGTAAGGATAACTTTCAGAACAAAACAAAATATATTCTGCTTATATCTGTTTGCTAAACATACTGATGTGATAAATTTTATGTGTATTTATTAAAACAAAAAAAATTACCCTTCCCCTTTTTAAAGTTTGCTGAAATTTCCATGTTCCATTCAGATTATTCCTGGGGCATCTCTGGCCAGACCATTATGGAGAAATACTACTAGTGGTTTCCAAGGAGACCTAGCTTCAAAACTATTTGTACTAAAATTTAACTCTTAAAAAGAATGTATAAACACCTAGATGAGTAATTGACACTCTGCTTCCCTATTTTCTTACTCTTCTAAAAAATTATTTTATATAGTGCCTAGGGCCTAGAGAATATTCCTTAAATTCAAATTGAAAAATAAAAGTACTTTTTAAAAGGAATACTATTTTATATAATAAGCTTATAGAAGTTATTTACCCCAAGAGGTTAAATAAATTTAGGCTAGAAATAATTTCAAAAGTTTTTTGACAAAATTACTGATAAAGATTCATAAGGGTTATTGAAGTAAATTAGATACTTCAGTATACATTACTAACAGTACTCTTCCATAGCCTGGATGTTACTGGGTGAAGAAGACTACTGATTTGGGTCTAATTGGATATGGCATTTCTAACATTTTTTTTCCATTTTCAGGGGTGGTTTGTTTACCCTTTAGAATTTTACAGTGTTCACTTTTCCCCTAAAGCTTTATTCATAATTAACTTATTGACTTGAATTAAGATGGCTCTTATTATTCATGCATTTATTTATGTTCAAAAGCTACAATATTTTTAACCACATTATCAACATTATTTGTAATGCTTTATACTTCTTTCAGTGGTCACATGTAAAGTGCTGAAGAGCAGCATTCAGGGTATTAGGTTTTCCATCTTTCTTTAGCCTTTCTTCCCTTCCCTTTTTAAAAACTATTTTAACTATATACATTCAAACTTCTACCAGTTTTGTACAGTGAACACTTACATTCTGACTTGGATCACTTTGTTATTTTTATAGTAATTGCTCAGGAATTTTAGTGTTCCTGGCATTGATGCTTTCACATTCTTAATTCTGCCCTATTTGAAGAGTTATTACAATAGAGATAATTCAACTATGATGTATGATTTCATGTAGTATATACTAGTCAAAAATATTTAGGATATTTAGAATTCAGAACCTGGTAAAAACTCAGAGGAATTGACTAGGAAAGTAGCAAGATGAATAAGAAGTCTTTTAAAATTTGTGACTTAAGTTTTCTCATTAAGGGGTATAGTTCTGCATAGCTACTTTAAAATCAATCAGTTTTATAGTTTCCCAGTATAAATAAAACTTAATCCAGAAGGTGGGCACCTGCGTGTCTCAGTCCCTTAAACATCTGATTCTTGGTTTCAGCTCAGGTTGTGATCTCATGGGTCATGATCATGGGTCCTGAGATTGAGTCTCCTGTTGGGCCCTGTGCTCATCAAGGGGTCTGCTTGAAAGAGTCTCTCCATCTGCCCCTCCCCAACTCACTCGTGTGTGTGTGTGTGTGTGTGTGTGTGTGTGTGTGTGTGTGTGTTCTGTCTCTCTCTAATAAAGAAATAAGTCTTAAACTTAATCAAGAAGGTAATCTTAAAATTTTAATCAATTAATCTTAGAACTTTAGCAATACTGTTTTTAAAAATTATTTTTTTATTTATTTTTTGAGAGAGAGAGAGCAGGGGGAGGGGGTTGGAGGGGCAGAGAGAGAGGGAAAGAGAGAATTTTAAGCAGGCTCCATCTCAGTACCCAGCTGGGATCATGACCTGAGCCAAAATCAAGAGTTGTATGATTAACTGACTGAGCCATCTGGGTGCCCCAGCAACACCATTTTTTTTTTAAGATTTTATTTATTTATTCGACAGAGAGAGACACAGCAAGAGAGGGAACACAAGTAGGGGGAGTGGGAGAGGGAGAAGCAGGCTTCCAGCCAAGCAGGGAGCCCGATGCGGGGCTCAATCCCAGGACCCTGGGATCATGACCTGAGCCTAAGGCAGACACTTAACGACTGAGCCACCCAGGCGCCCCAACACCATTTTTTGATAGAAGTTTTCCTTGGTCAAGTAAATGTGGGAAACTGAATTTAAAAAATTATAGAAAACAATGAATGCTTCTAGGACTGCTCAGAGCCTTTTATATGCTAAATGCATTGTGAATCACCTTATGGGGAATATTTCCTATATAATTTGACAGTAGAAACCCTTTTCCCAAAATACCTGCAACATTCTAAAAATTTCCTGGAAACAGACTTGAGAAACTGGGTTATAAGCCCCTATTTACACCAGAAAAAGCTAAAGTCCAGAGAAGTATGGGACTGGCATTAAGTTATACTGCTTGCCTTCCAAACAGTCTATTTCTACACCACATTTCCTTGGTATAACAGATCTGTACTTATAGAGCATCAAAGATAGAAGATTAGCCATGTTACATTTATTCTTTATTTCGATTTATTTATTTATTTTTAGAGAGAGTGTGTGTGTGCGCGCGCGTGGGTGGAGGGGGAGGGGCAGAGGGAGAAGGAGGAAGGAAACTCCTCGCTGAGTGGGGACCCTGACGTGGGGTTGGATCTCAGGACCCTGAGATCATGACTTGAGCCAAAATTAAGAGTTGGATGCTTAAGTGACTGAGCCACCTAGGCACCCTTATTACGTTTATTTTTTAAGTCAAATATATTATGGTATAATTCATATAAAATAAATTTTTTTCTTTTTAAGTATATAGTCCAATGAGTTTTGACAAACATATACATTTGTATAACTAACAGCACAATAAAAATGTAGAACATTCTGTCACCTTCTGAATTTCCGCATGTCTCATTGCAGTCAATCCTCTGCCCCTCCCTGTATTCCTGGAAACCAGGAACCTCTCTGTCCACTCTACTTTTGCTTCATTTACAATTTCATCTAAATGAAATAATAAGCATGTAGCCTTTTGTTTATATCTGATTTTGCTTAGAACCTAGTGCTTTTTTGATTTATGCATGTCATTTCATGTATCAGTAATTTATTCCTTTTTATTACCAAGCAGTATTTCCTTGTATGGATGGATATACCATGATATGTTTGTTAATTCTTCAACTGATGGGCATTTGAGGTGTTTCATATTTTGGCTATTATAAATAAAGCTGCTATAAACTTTCTTATATATATCTGCATGAACATTGATTTTCATTTCTCTTGGGTAAATATCTAATTAATGGGATTGTTGGATCATGTGGTAAGTATGGATTTAACTTTTTAAGAAACTGCCAAAATATTTTGAAAGTGGCTATCCCATTTTGTATTCCCACTAGAAATGTATAATTTTAGAATTAGCTTCTCAATTTCTACCAAAAAAACAACTAGGATTTTGTTTGGGATTACATTGAATCTGTAGATAATTTTGGGGAAAAGTAACATCTTAACAACATTGAACCTTACAATCCAGGAACATGGTATAATTTCCCATTTATTTAGGTCTTCTATAATTTCTCACAGCAGTATTTTGTAGCTTTCATTGTACAGGTTTTGCAAATCTATTGTGAATTTTTTTCCTAAGGGTTTCATGTTTTTTTGGTGCTATTTTAAATTTTCAAATTTATAGTTGTTTTTTTGATAGTAAATGGAAATGGTTTTTGTTTTTGTTTTTGTACATTGATCTTGCTAAATTCATTGACTAGATCTAATAGCATTTTTTTTTTAGATTCTTCGGAATTCTCTACATAGATGATCACATTGTCTACAAATAAAGACAGGTTTACTTTTCCTTTCTAATCTTGTCTGCCTTATGGTTCTTTGTCATGCACTAGTGAACTGCTAGTGCTTCAGGTATAATGGTGAATTGAAGTGATGAGACTGGACATCCCTCCCTAGTTCCTGATTTTAGGGGGAGAGCAGGCTGTCTTTCACTGTTAAGTATGGTTGTAGATGCCTTTATCAGCTTGAGAATATTCCTTTCTGTTCCTACTTTGCATAGAACTTTTATCATAAATAGATATGTCCCACTTTTTAATTTTATCCAGTATAGTTAGACTTATACCAGTTATTTTTTGGGGCTCATTTTAACTGGTATTTTATGTGGAATAGTGCTACCCAATAGAACTTTCTGTAATAATGGAGATGTTCTATTTGATGCCATCCAAAACAGTAGGTACATATGGCTGTAGTATCCAAGGAACTCAATTTTTTAATTTTACAGAATTGTTACCAGTTTTAAAGTCTATAACCACATATGGCTAATGACTACTATAATGGACAGTGAAGATCTAGAACAATATGAAAACCAGTAAGCAGCTTCCTGGATAGGTACATAATTTGGTAATAATGTATTGACTAATGATTCATTTTACAGATTTAACCTATGGAATGTTTTCTACTTTTGTACTTAGAAACTACCTTTAGCTTTTCCTCTTTTGATTTTAGTAACTCACTTCAAAGATAATATTGTGCCACTTCTTTCTAATGAATTTCACAGTTGTCTTTGGCCAAAAACAATACAATTCTGACCTTATCTGGACTTTCCACAATATGGGATTATTTATTCAAATGTTCCCATCCTTTGTGCAGTTAATCAACAATGTTATTTAGTAATTTAATGAAATGGAGGTGAGGTAGCATGGCATAGCATAGACTAACTACTATAATACTTTACATATATGTGTACTTAAGTTTACCA